CTTAACTTATGTCCATGTGGACCGGGTGGTGAAATGCCAGTTAACAGCACTTGTACTATATACAGGCCTGCATTAGAGGTGGGCCAATTTGTTGATTCTTCAGGGCTGATATTGATTATTGGTGATCAAAAAAGACTAATAACCAATATTTAGAACTGATATGCATTCAGTATTTTGTACCGTCACTTTTATTGCCCACCTAGATCCATGTTTTCCACACTTTTTTTCAGGGTTTCTGTTGGCTGCCTCCTAGCTTTGCTGCTAACCATTAGCCTAGCCTAAGCTACTGTGTTTTCTTATTTTTGAGGCGATGGCTGTACTTCTTGTTCAGTTTCTGTTATTGTGTCTTTTCAAGGGAGACATGTCTGTCAGTTGGACAAAGTAAAGAAGTTAATCTTACTTTAGCAAGATGTCATAGTACTCCAGACAGCGTTAGCCAAGAGGCATAGCAAACCTCTTAGCGGTGGCCTTAGCCTCACACCGTCTGTTAAATAAGTCCTGCTGCACTCTTAATCATTACATTTCAGCCATTCTTTGTTTATTGTGCGTGTTCATACTGCAGTGATGATGAAGATGCGATGTATTGGTCCACATTGTGCTGTACTATATACTCTGTCTACCAAATGTGTATTAGTTTCAGCTTTTAAATCCTTTGTTTGTTGTACTGAAACTGTGTCTGGAACATATTTCATGCATGTTGATTAACAGGAGTAATTATGCATCTTTTCTGACCGATATGCTGCAATTAGTTGACCTCTTCTGTTTGGAGTCTCATGTTGCTTTTCTTTTTTAGAGATAACAGAGAGATGATTATCTCTTATCGCTGACAAATGCTGCCAGTTGGCGTTCAATCTATCACAACCCATTTCTGCAGCAATGTTTGATGAAGTTACTTTACGCTTTGAAGTCCTTTTCCTTGAAGTGTTTTCACTATTTTTTTTTCTCTACAGTATATCATTGATGCACCAAATCCGATAAATTTATACAACTAATCACCGGCCTTGTAGCAGTATTAATAATCATCATAAGCACTTTGATAATGACCGTGATTCATTGGTAATATTAAATGTTGGGTTTCGAGACGAGCTTACAGATGCAAAGCAGAGAGTGCCGAGGAAAAAAAGCTGAAGGAGGGAAGATTCCAGGGGACGCACACGAGGAGGCTATATTCCTCTGGGTTAATTGTGCAGACCCCATCGGCACTAAATAAGGATGGTTAGAATGACTGGCTAAGTGACAAATGGATGTACAAATCATCCAGATTACTTCTCGGTTATTAAAAAAACTCGGATTTGGCCGGCTTCCACCCTCCCTCTCTCATTACGTCTGGCAGTCTCACCACTGACGGCTATCTTTTACAATAACTCCTCTCAGTTCAGTTTTCACAAGTCGAAAGCGGCTTAAGTGTTTCACATTGATTAAAAACAACTTTTTGTAATGACGTGTAATTGTGATGAGGCGCTTGGTGAGATTGTTAAACCTAAATGAGTTTTGACTGATTGTCTGAAGAGGTGGCGTTTGACCTGCAGCTGTAGTGTAAATGGCTGTGGAGAGGTGCCGGTAAGCTGTCTAAACACTGCGCACCTGTGACGGCGGCTTCCTCGCCGGCGTTCTCGCAGAGGGTTGCGGCGGTAAGATGAGTTGTCAGACAGTGCACAGCTGTTCACTTAATTACCTCCTAGTATGGGAAGGAGGTTAATGAAGCAGTTTGGCGATCAGAAATGAGAGACAGCCTGAATGTGCACAAAAGAAATTAGTTTTTTGGCTGCTGGGACAGAGTTGAAAGCAACAGCAGTTTAAATTATTGATTGCAAAAACTGCAACACTGAAGGAATAAAGAAAGAGGAAGTTGAAAGAGGAGGAGAGGTTAGTGTGCTTTACAGATTTGTACATGTTTAGCATATTCTTGCACGAGGTAATTAGGCCTCATCCTGACTTTGGCAGATTAGTGGATCTTTTATCTTTGACTGGAATACCTTCTGAGGAATCATTCATTCACTTTAAGCTTGAGTCCCCAACCTGATAGACAGTATTTATTTATTTATTTGTTGTCTTCAGAACCTACTTTACCTAAATTACTTGAACAAATGTTGTGTTGTTGCCTTTTCAGTGCCATCAGTGGCCCAGTGGGAGTCATTTGCTCCTATCAAGTTTTAACCTGCATATTCTTGATATTACCAAGCAAAAGATTAGATCTTGAAGGCATGTTTTCCCTGTAGTTCTACTTGTAGTATTATGTAGTGTATAATGTATGGAGCGAGAGTCGTTCGATGTTCTGCCTGGCTGATTTTTTTTTTTTAGCTCCGATATTAAGCATTTGTCCACTCATTTTTTTATTTTTATTTATTGTTTTGAGCGATTCCTCATAAATTACTTTACAATGTGCTATTTTGGCTCTGATGCAGCTGACTCTTTGCTTTGTGCTCTCAACGCTAAATGTTAAAAAGTTCTCTTTTAACCAAACATACGTAAAACATTTGTGTGAAAATTTGTGAAATTCATAATTTTGACACCATTTTTTTTACGACAAATCTATATCAGCTCCAAATATCGGTTATCGTTCTTCTCAACGTTTACCAAAATCGGCCCTGAAGAAACCAAATTGGTCGACTCCAAAGATTAAACTATTTATACATCTCAGTTATATTGAAATACTGCTGTTGTACAAGCTGCACTAAAACAATCCTGAAATTTTTTCTAACCGTTCCGGCTACAACCAACAATTAAACCATTATTTTTATGATCGGCTAATCTGCCAATTATCCTCTTTATTACTTCATTGCCTGTTCAGTTTATAAAATGTTGCGAGAGTTAATAATGACATTTTAGTGTTGCCGACATGCCTCTGCACCACAGAGCACACAGGTAGAGTAACTGTGAGGACCAGACCACAGACAGTCCAGCCTCATTTTGCATATTCATGCCATTAAGGGGTGAATAACCCTGGCTGCCAGTGTATCCGCTTAATATCCTTAATCACCTGCATCTCATTGTGGGGCCAGGACACACCTCCACTCATTAAAATGATGGATGGAGGCATAAGGGGATGCTCTCCCCTGTTCCAAATTTGTTCTTGTTTAGAAAGGTGCTTATTAGAGAACACCTGGGGGAATGAAGGGGGAAGGGTTCTCCAAAAGCTGAGAGCGGGCTGAGGAGGAGGAGGAGGAGGAGGAGGAGGAGGAGGAAGAGGGTGGATGTTCAGAGGCGGCAGCTGTCATAAAACCATTACTGAAGAACACTGATATATTTCTAGTTTTCAATTTGTCCCTGTAAACATGAAATATCCGCAGAAATGATGTCCTTCTATTTCTGAAGATAATGCTGGACAGAAGGCTGTTCTGCCTTTGATTAGATTTCTTCTGTAATCACAATTTTCACATTAAAAAAACATGATTAGAAACACAGATTGCATGTCCTGAAATGGCCCAAGAAGTCCAGTAATTGCTGTAATGGATGAGTAGATGCAGAATCTCTTGTTGCTTTCAGCAGAGGACTCGGAGCGGTGGCTGACTCGATGCTGCAGCAGGTTGAGGTGGGCAGCGCTGCTCATTAGCTTGTAAAAGCAGGACTTCTATTGCAGTTCTTCGAGGCTCAGGAGGGAGCATAAAGGGGAGGAACCACCTCTATTTCTTCATCACTGATGTTTGAATAAGCCAGACAGACAGTGCTTGACATTAAAGACTCCCATAGGCCAGGTTATTGCCTCTGTGAGAACAAGCAGTCGGTAGGTTAGATGTAATAAACTGGAACAAATGTATTTCGGTCTCCAATTAGGATAAGTCGCTGTCTGGAGTCACTCTGTGGCGACAGTGTCATCTTCCGATTTTATGGATATTTTGTTTTGTCACGTCAGCAGCTACCCCCAGCAGCAAGTGAGTGATGAGGAATAAGATGAGTACTGTATTCGCTCTCTTATGTAACCTCATTGAAGCCTCCTTACGCCTAATTGGCAGCAATCTAGGCCTGTCAAATTGAATATAATCCCTTCACCGTTGGTTGTAGCCTCCCTCTATGGCTCCAAATGCCTCCACTGAATGACATGGCATGCTGATATTGTGAGTAATGGAGAACACTAATGGAATTGGCATTAGGTAATACATTTGAATAGCTACAGTACAGAACAGAAATGACTGTTTAGCCACGGAGCCAAGGATATAGATAGTTCCCTCCTTGACAGCGTTCTTGAAGTACATTGTGTCCTTTTGCGTGAGGCCAGCTCATATTATTTCCCATCAAAATGCAATAGATGCAATGACATTGAGCTTTATTGTGATACTTCTAAATTATAGCTATAATAAATATATCTGTAAAATGAATTTATTCCTTTGATCAATCATTTTCATGTCTCCACAAATGTTAGTTTTGTGTCCCGTGCACACTCGTCTAATAAATCATTAGAAATCACTAGAATCAATAGAAGCTGTTTTCATATTGAAGGTAAAAAAAAACAGCAGTATGTTTTTGTAAAAGATTAGGATAAGGCTGCTGTATTTTTAGATTACCATGCGCTGCCAAAACCTGATGTAGCCGCTTCTTCCGCTCCGTTATACTGTGTCAACTATGTTTTGATATAAGTGGCATAGACTAAGCTTCCACTGGAGGTTTTCCAGCCACGCCTAACTGGTAGGAAACCCCGGGGTAGACCCAGAACCCAGGGAAAGATTATGTATCTCACTGGGCCTGGAAACGCCTCGGGATCCCCCGGGAGGAGTTGGAAAATGTTGCCGGGGAGCGAGACGTGCGGATTAACTCGCTTAGGCTGCTGGCACTGTGACCAGACTGCGGATAAGTGGTAGAAAACGGATGGATAGATGGAAAGTTTTGTGTCTTCAGGAGGAATGAACGACTAGACTTGGGGTTGAGTGCCTCAGACAGGACAGGAAACGGGGAAATTGTTGAGTGGCATAATAACACATTGGTGGTTTTGGGGGATTTATTGAGATTAAAAAAAATAAAAAATAAAAAATCAAGAAGAATGTTGACAAATGACGAAAGGAACATTTATAGTTTGAACTTTTTTATTCATCTTTTTTTTTTTTTTAGTTCTTTTTACTTTTTTGCTTTACGAAACAAATGTTTGCAGATGTCCTATGAATAAACAACAGCACCCTTTCTCCTTTAAAACAGGGCTCCATCAGCCCTTTCAAGAAAAGAGACCCTTCTTGTCCAATCACAACCTCTCCAGATTCCCAAAGTGACGTTATTTCCTGTATTTGACATTCATTTAAGTGCATTCGTAGACGACATTACCATTTCGATTAATGTGCAATAGCTGAGTTTATGGTCAATGCGAAAAGATATTTACATTGCAGCTATGACTCACATTAACTGTCTTTTTTTCATCACTTGAGCTTGCGTCAGAACCGGAGAGGGAGACAATCACAACACAAGGAGTCTCCTTTCAAGCACAGCCTTCGTAAACAGCAACCTTTACCTACATCATCATCATCATCATCATCATCATCATCAGGATTAACTAGACTCTTTTGTCATACCTGTTTTCCTCCAGTAAGACAAAAAGGTTAATAGATAGAATGGTTTAAAATAAAGTTTAGTGATTGTGCTTTTAAAACCAAAGTAAAACAAATAACAAACATTGATGACAACACGAAACATAACAGTGCATTACAAAAAAACAAAAAAAAACAAAAAAAAGAAAAGAAAAATCCCAAAGTGGCACTTTCTTGGGGCAGCTAAATAATATAGCAATTTACAACATGGATGGAAATGATAAAATAATTATATTTACTGGCATAATAAAATTAGAATTCGCAAAATAAAACAAGGAAGACAATTTTGAGGTACCACAATGGGTAAAACAAGAAGACATCATGTATACACGTATATTTACAGACAGTCCACCCCCCTCTCTGCTTGCAGCTATTTTATGACAGTAACGTCTCACTGTACGGGCTCTCCAAAGTTCTTGTCAAGGCAAGCTGAGTCATGTCAATGTCTGGAGCAGGATTTCACTCCATATTGCATTGGAATTAAACATAAATATACTACTGCGTATTTAGTTTTGAATGCACCATTCTTTTATCTTCAGACACTCTTTCCTTTTTTTTTTTTTTTTCTTCTTTTAAATGGACATAGAAAATGATAAGTTAGAAAAAAAACCATTGGTCTGTTTTCCAGATGTAAAGAAACACTACTGATGTACAGTATGATGGCAGCCAACATGATGGTGAAATACTGAGATATTTAAAATCGTAAGAGAAACAATGTTGCTCCACTCTCGGAAAAATCACAACAGTTCCTCCTTTTCCTCCTCGGGTTCTTCAGCTTTCTACCATCTGGGTAACAAAGAGAAAAAAAACAGTGTGGTTAGCATCAATCTTAACCGATATTTAGTCGTTGCAGATACATCAGGATCTGTGTATGTTTTGGCTAATGCGCAACACAGCCTTGGAGCACATTGATGGATAGGCGTTAGCTTCAATCCTCAGGAGAAGGCATGTCATGATCCGTCTGCACTTTACTTTCCTTCATAGTGTTCCTGGTTGTTGAGCTGCATGGCTAATCTTTACCTTTGAGCTGTCACTGACTGTTGGATCTGAAATGAATGTACTCGTGTAAACTATCTGACACTAGAGGAATGTTCCCTTAATTTTTATCTGCATGTGGTGCCTGTATGTGGATCTGAAAGTTATAGCAACAGACAGCAGTGTTTATGAAGCTAGAATAACACGTACTAGGTCATCGCTTTCTGTGTATGCAAACAGCTATTTGCTATGTAAAGATGTAGTGGAGTAATTGTTTCTTTAGCAGACGGTGAAATCACGCAACCTCTGTGTTGTAATCGGAGCTTCTCTGACCCTGATACAAGTGCATGTGAGTCCTTCCCTTTGCTATTGTTCCAGCAAAGGAAAATATTAACAACAAAAATTCAGTCCAATCCCATCCTTGTACAGCGTGTTTTAGCAGCCTTTGCTAAGTTAAGGTGATTGTTACGAGACAACCACACAATTTGTGCGATTTACTTATTTATTTGTAGTATGTGACAACGGGGAGTGTTACCTGATGTATGGTGATGTTGCATTCATGTGATTTATGAATCCTACTGGAGTTAAAGTCGTACTGTATCATATCAGCATTTGATGATCTGGTCTGTAGCATCTCCTTTATGTATGATTCATTCACCAACCTTATAGCTCATCAGCAACTTACTGCATTTTGACATAAATGCGATTGCACATCAAGTTACCATCAATACAGAGACTTTTCTTCACTGCAGATGCTCACATATTTACACTGGGTGGTTTCTTGAATTTCTTGATAGTTTGACAGGAGGGCCAAAGTTACTCATACCCATGTCAAATTTAGATTTTTTTTTTGTGAATTTTGTCAGTATGGCAAACATTGATCTCAAATATAAATATTAACTCTTTCTTTGAAATTTTTTTTTTTTTTTTTTACATTTTTATAAGAAGTGCCATGTTCTATATTTACCACCACAACAATCTAGTGGTTCTTTTATTGGCTAAAAAGGCTTGAAAGGAAAAAGAGGTTGGAAGGTTTACTTGCCATCACCTCAGTCTTTAGTTCCTTTCACAGATTTTCTGACCTCTGGCTGGGCCACTACAAAATGTTGAGATGTATATGTTTATAACCATTTCTTGATCATATTGGCTGTATGTTTCAGATCATTGTCTTGTCTGAAGGTCCAGTGCTGCCCAAGGCCAAGTTTTTCTACTGCTTGATGGTTTTCTCTAGAATATGAACGTCGTCCTTTTTTTCTCATGATGCCATTTATGACGGGGTTGTCTGGTCCATTGGCTGGAAGACATCTCTAAAGCATTACATTGCCACCACCACACTTGACCATGAGAGTGGTGTTCTTGGTGATGAATACTTCTCCTTTCTTTTGCCGAACTACAGCCATGTCCCTGTGTTCAAACAACGCAGAACTGATTATCGAAAGTGTTCCTCTTTGTCCATGCTGAGTGAGCTATTGTGTGCTTGTCTTGCAGAAGTGGAATCTTCCTTCGTTGGTGTCCATGGAGACTAACGTTGTGTGAAGTGTCTGCTTCTGCAAATGTTCAGATTCATCAGGATGGCCTTGTTGGTGAGCCTTGGATTCTCGCAGTCCCGTTCTTGCCAGTGTAGGCGTCACTTTTGGCTTCCTACCAGGCCCTTAGAGAGTTTTCATTGTCAACCTCCTTGTACTTTTTAAAATTATGATTGGGATGTACTGTGGCCAATAGCACTTGAGAGCCCTTGGACATGACTTTCTAGCCTTTTCTTGTCTTTTCTTGTCTTGTGAGCAACCACAATGTGCAACTTTTTCTCAGGGATGAACCCTAATAACAAACCTATAAAGCTCTTGGGTTTTAGCTTAACTCGCAACAGTTGTCAATTTATAGTGTATTAGAATGTTGTATACCATGGTAGAAATCACCATTTGGAATATCCAACACTTTTAGGGGTTATGAATAATTTTAGACATGGTATTTTTAGTACAAATGTTAAACCAAAACAACAACAAAAACAGATATCCATTTTTTCCGTTTAATTTGAACTACTGCTCACAGTGATTACTTGTTTTTGTCATTTTCTCCTTGGTCATATAGAATTTTATAAAATTTTAAGTAAAAGAATGTGGAATTTGTATGAATCATTTTGGCTTTACTAACATGGGATGAAGTCTCTCTCTGCCATTATGCAAGCACAATGCACAGTGTACTTACTCCTGAGGACTGGAACCTAAAGCCCACCTACAGAAATGTTACACTAGATTTGAGGTAATTTCAAACAATGATACTCCTACAATGTTTGTCAACCAAAGACCACTGACACGGTCATTTTTACTCAATAAAATGTTCAGCATAGTACTGTACGCATCTTGGCAACAATTCCTTAAAAAATGTATGTAGCATGATTGTTTGTGTAATGTTAAACTATTGTGTTTGTATTATATTAACGCAATTTTGTAATGAAAATGTCATATAGGTATGGTGCAGTGAGATCTGTTGAAGGCTAGCATGTGTAGTTAACATATATCTGCACCTCTAGCTCTTCATCTCCTGGTTGGAAGGCTCCAGAGGTGTTGAGGCCCAAGTCTGCAGGGTTCCTGCGGCCTCCTTCTCCTCTCCGCCGGCCCCCTGAGCCCCTGGAGGACATGGAGCTGGAGGAGCTTGGGTCTCGAGGGCTGTTGACTGTGGGGAACTGTGGTCGGCTATAGGGCAGAATGTCCTCTGAACCTAGAAACAGAGAACAATTGTAGAAGGAGTTTAGACTCAGAATCCTGGCCATTGCACTGACGGACTCCTTCACACTGTAATTGTTGTCGTACCTGCGTGCTGGCGCGCCTTGTTGGCAGTGCTACTCTCATGTTTATTCCCTTTCCCTCCATGAGCTGTCTTTTGTCTGTCCTGAGCGTCTTTGCGTTCAGACGAGCTGGTTCTGGTGTCTGAGCCCTCCCGGGGCCGATAGCCTCCCGTTCCTCCTCTCTTGTCTCGACCCTCACCTGCTTTGGGGGAAATTACTCCCCGGCCCTCCAGGGCCGCCTTGGAGGGGTGTGTAGGGGACTTAAGCACTGCTGGAGGTGGAATGGGTGGAGGTGGGAGATCTGTAGGATAAACACAGGAAGCAAGATCACATTAAGCACAGGCGTCAATAAATGAGTGTTTAGCTAATTGTAAAAGACTGCATAATGAGAATCTGTGTCCTCTTGAAACTTCAGTGTGTATCATCTGTCACTCAGTTGTCTCACACCTGTAAGGTGATGCACAAACACAGCTGTGGTGTGTGTACATACACCCAGAGCTGTACACACAGATATGCTGAACGGAAACTCCTCCGAACCGACAGTAAACAGAACTGATGACATTAGAGGCGATGGATCTGGCCGGAGAGTTATGAGATTTGAGAGCAAAGCAAGAGGGGAGTGTGACGGTCAGCAGCTGGCTCTCTGGCCTGCTCGACTTCCCCTGTCGATGAATCAATGCTGCTTGTCCTTGAGCCATTATTCATATGAGGCCAGCCAGTGGGCTCCCTGGCCTCTCACACATCACACAGCCATCTAAACAAAACGGCGAGTGAAAAACCTTGTCTGCTTGCGATCGATGGCTTTTCATCTTCTAATCAGCTTCCAACCTGAAGGATGGTTTTGTTGCCAGCCAGACCCGTAATCCACATAGGATTAGAAAGTTAATAAACATATTGAGTGCCAGCTTTTACAGGTTTTTCTTGATCCCAATGCCAACCTTATAGACTTTTAAGATTGTACAAAACTGGACTTTGTAAGGAATCAAAGCTTTTATTTCCTTTTTTTTTTTTAATACACACAGAAGGCTAATGGGGCAGGTGATGTCTTTGCTGCGTCTTGTTGGCGGAATCAGGCGGCTTCAATACACTTTTCTGATTACCCTCCACCTTCATCCACTCCCCCTGAATACAAAAGGGGGACGGTCAATATCATACAGCAGAGAGGCGTCTGCAGTTTTTTAATATCTGTCTTGCCTCCTGAGTTCTGCCTCAGTCAGAGTCCGATCAATGCCACAGTCTGTGAGCTATAGCTCACTACAAGGGAGGAGCACAGCGCCTGTTAGATTTATGAGGAAATATCGGCGAGGACAGGGCGCAGGTCTGAAAGTGTCTCTGAGCTTGCCAAGGAGGATGAATCTGAGGGGCTGGTGGTTAATTAGGCAGACAAGGCTGAGACAGATCTGAAGAGACAGGAAAGGGTTAAGTTCAGAGAGGAGGCAGACAAAGGCATTAGAGTCAAACACAATATGAATCATGGGGGAATATAACTTGGGTGTCTCCGCATCCACTGTGCAAACAAGAGTGAAATGACTAGGTCAAAGAGGGGTAAGCAGTGGGGAAGTGAGGCTGTTTGGGCGCGGGGGGGTGGCTGCCTCCCTCACTGGGTCGCTTGTTTTTCTGCCTTTTTTACTGCCTCCTTGGCTGATAGTATTTATGTGTAGTAAAAGTGATGCTTCCTGGATAGTAGTCTCAGTCTGAAGTAATTGGAAAGGTACAGAGGCATAAAACGAATGATAGAAACGCGTAAGAATGCACATTACAGACATGGTTTCTGTTCTTTGTTCTAAATTTCATTAAATCACCTTCCCTCACCTATCACCTCAGCACCAGTATTCCAGACCACAGACGGGGTATGTAGGGTGGGGGCAGGGGAGGCAATAACCTCCAAATGAAAAACAATCCATTCAGATCAAAAGCAATCAGCAGGAGGACTGATAGACAGACAGAACTGCAGAGCTGTCAGTCCACCCCCCTCCCTGCTCAAACAAAGACTGAGGAGAGTGGAGAGGGATGGAGAGATCACTCCAAAGGGAGGGGCAGTGGATGGGGAAGAAGCCAGGATATAAGGATGATGGCAGGAGGCGGAGGTTTGGGTGGGTGGGGTTGGATTTTCTGCAGTGATGTAGCTGGTCTGGCTCCCAGTGAGCTGGATATTAAATCTCCCTGTCAAGTGCTTCCAACACTCAAGGACACCTGACACTAAGAGGAGAGCCAGCTCTGGGACAAGCACATACTGTACACACCAGAATGAGCGCATGCACACACTCACATCCAGATAAACTTCAGGGGAAAAAAAAAAAAACAATCTTTCCACAAGATCAAAGCAGAGAGGAAACAGGAAAAAGGGGCTTTCCAATGGTGGGTTGTAAAAATGCAGTAAAAAGTCAATTGCTGTTTTATTTAACAAGGTTAAAGCTTTTCCTTCTGTGTACAGCTGTTCCAGTTTTTAGCCCCTGTTTGCTTTATGTTTGGCCCCGGCTGAGTAAAAGGTGGCTCTTCAGTGTGAGCCAGAGCACCTGGATCAATTTCATTAGTGGCTAAAGTGGAGAGACATCCCAGTGTCAGTATCGCCAGGCTGGGCAGAGCTCCCCTGAGACAAACCCCCCCTCCCTGTCTTCCCACCATGGCCCTGGCCTCCAGCCCACCACTCGCCCGATCTGTTCAGCACTGCCACAGATTAGGAGTGATGCCATGTATGCATGCGCGTAAACACATGAGAGAAGATGATTAAAACTCTGGCTCACGGCACACCCGTACTCAGTCATTTACGGACACGCCACCACAGTAAACTGCACTTTTCCCATCCATATCTTTACAGGGCAGAGAGGGAGGCCATCGATGCAAACTAGCCATCTGTGTACTTGTGGCATGCAGCTAACCTGTAACCACTACTTGGCACTTTATCAGTGTCTAATAGTTTCAGATAGTGCATCATTTTTAGACACAATGCAGTGTCAACTAGGGCTGAACAATTTCTGGAAAATGTGTAATTGTGATTTTGTATTTATTTTTGGACAAAAATTGCATTTGCGAAAAGTTTTTCTTTTTTTAAGTCAAGCTTCAGTTCAATATTCACTGTGCAAACACAACAGTTTAAACCCTGGACAGGAACCACTGTGTCATATATATATATATATGAAAATGCAGTCTTTGCTGTTTATAAGTTGCATTGTTTCAAATCGTGATTTCATTTGAAATCACTTAATTGTTCAGCCCTAATATCTAACAAGTCAACATTTTATTACAGTTGTATGCAAAACTTTGACTGGATGAAATACGTGTAGGGAATGAATACCAAATGTTAAATCACTGCTGCTTTTTTTTT